ATATATTGTTTATTAGTATTGTATATTTATGGTGTTAGCTCCTGAGCTAACAGCATTAGCTGAAAGCTAACAGGCCAAGCAGAAGCAGCTGTTTTACTTCATTATTTTCAGTTTCAGGCTGAGTCTGWTCTATATTCCTCTCTCTGTCAGGGCGCTCTGGTTTCATTTAAAAGACCTGACATTTTCCCAGATTATTCTTCAGGGTGGATAAGAGCTTTGCTCTGGAGCACCTACTAGCTCTCCTTTACCCACTATGCTTTGCGGCATAAATAAAATGGCGCTGAGTCACAATATATATTTTTTAAATTTGCAAAAACTAAACAGCCTACACTAATATTACAATCTTTGTTTTACAGTTGAAGTAAATGTTTATCAAATAATGTCGTAACGTTACAACTAGTCAGGGTTAACTTTAAAGTTATTAGTTTTTAGTTTTAGTCCTTTCAATGTCACAAATTGTGACGTTTGACTGGAGTCTCAGGTGCTACGACACATTCCAGAGGTTGCCGTCGCATTTAACCAACAAACCAACGAGCATAAGCTACACCTTCACATCAGTTACAACAATAATATATTTAAGKTTTTACCCTTTTTGTTTGATACAAACCAAAGCAAAACGTAAACCGACAGAAGGACCATCCTGTTCGCGACACGAGAGGATTTATTTTTGTGCCAGATGCAGAATGTTTGCTTTTAATGTTGCTAAACCGTAACACGTGAACACGTATTTACCATGTTCTAAACACGGGCTTCTCATCAAACCCAGGCTCAAGCACTTATTGGAAAAGAAAAAAAAAGATAATCACAGCTTTGTGTTAAGTTTGTTAATTAAAACAATCAGAAGAACGTGCAATTCATTTTTTAATTTTTTTTCGTCTGACGTAAAAACAACAGAATCAGATTCACCTAATAATCTCAGCTGAGTTGTTTCAAAAAGAGAAAATAAAAAACCGCTGATTCRTGCTAACCGTATCAATATTTAACTGGACGCCTCGTTGAGCAGCGGCCGTCACTGTTTGCAGCACGTTTCCACACGGATCAAGAGTTTAACGTGTACTAACTCACATCATAAAACATGTTTAACCACGTTCAGAACAGATTCATTTCTCCTGTTTTTACATGTTTTTATGTAGATCTTGTTCTTTTTTTTTTCAATAAAAACAAGAAAAAGTCTGTTGGGTTGATATGTACTTTATTTTTTTATTATTAAAGGGCAAAGACAGACATAACCAGCAGGTTTTAGTAAAGGTAAGGCCATTTGTTTATTTAATGTGACTGAAATAAAACAAACTGCTCAATAAAAGGTTAGTTAAAACTAAGGTTAGTGCTCAGTTTTATATTTTAAATGTAAAATAATGCAGATATGTGATTATTTTAAGGCATTTTTGCTGTTTTATTTATTTATTTAATGCAGCATTTTGATCAAAATCAGTAAATAATTGTCTAATTGATCAAACGTCAGTTTTATTACCTCTAAACTGTGAAACTGCATATGATGCCCAGGAGGGCCGTTTACTGAGAAATAAATAAAATCTTACTTTGGTTTTTTAATTCTGCGTGATGTGAAACATGCAACAATGTTTGTGTGATTAAACCTTTAAACATGCAAACATTTTAAAAAGAACAAACAGCTGCTGAATGAATTAAAAACAGTCTGTTGAGCTGCTTTGAGTTTAAACTGATCAAAAGGCAKAATCTGCTTCTGATTATTTTATTTTTGTTTGTTTTTGTTTGGATGCAAAGGGACGACCGSTGAGGTTCATTAGTTTCTTGGTTCATGAGGTATTTTGCTAACAGACTTTCACCTGTGAGGGATTATGTTTAGTAAATTTAATGGTTTAATGATTGATGTTTGTCCAAAATTTATGGCTGATATCTAATTTTAGCTCGGCTGCTTTAAATTAATTTCTGACATTTTATTTTGAAAAGCCCGGAGGTTCGGTCTCAGGTGTGCGGATCGTCACTGGGGTGGGGCTGGAAAGGAATCCCCCCGCTGAGGAAGAGTTACGCCGCGTTCAGCTCATGCTCTCTGCCGGTTCTGCCGATCAGGTCCGGATTGGAGAGAGGGTCCAGGTCTGCGAACAGGTGGAACCACGCAGACCGGTCTTTGGACGCTCCGCTTCCTGTCATTTAAAATAAAATAACAAAAATAAACAACCTGAAACCCTGGTTCTGGTTTGAAGGACCGGTTCTACCTTTCAGGGCTGCGGTTTGAGGGTTCTGCTCAGGTCCAGGTGAGGGTTCTGCTGCTCTGGTGATCTGATCTGAAGCACGGATTGAGATTATTAATCTCATTAACTGTTAATTTTTCTAAAAAGAATCATCAGACCTGAGCTGGACTTCCTCAGACTCTGGTCCAGCAGCTGCGAGGGCAGGAAGAAGGACTCCTCCTTCAGCTGGGCTTCTCTCGATCCGGTCCAGTCTGGGGACGGGTCCCCCTCGTCCACCATCAGGTCCCCCAGGATCTCGTTGAGCAGAGACAGGCTGTCCCGCTCCTCTCCTCCCTCTGGTTCTGATCCAGCAGAATCATTTTTACAGGTTTAATCAGCGGAAACRGAATCAGCTGAAAGACGTCGTGTTTCTGCTCCGATGATTCGACAAAAATAAAACTGTTCTGCTGAGTCAGCGTTCACACAGTCTTCCTCGTTTGTACTTTCTTCTTATGTTTGTTGGAATGTTTGATTCGTTCGATTTTGACCAATCAGCTCGAGAAGGAAAAACCTCAGACTTTTGGTTTTTATACTTTTTAAATATAAAATTTAGTGAAATACAATTCTCTATAGAAATACAATTATTGCTATGTTACGATATTTCTGTCTTTTATTCCATTTTTAGTTTTAGCTACTATTCTGACTTTTAGCTAATGTTTTGATGCTTTTAGCTTGTGCTCTGCTACATTTACCTTTCAGCTCACATTTAGCTGTTTTGAGCATTGAGCTACCTCTTTAGCAAATGTTTTGATACTTTTAGCTTTGAGCTAAAGTTATGCTACTTTTAGTCACATTCTGCTTTTTTAATGTTTCTACTTTTACTATGTAGAAACATAGTAAAAGTATATTTATAGTATAGTTTAGCAAGTTTTAGCTTACAGCCATGGTTTTGCCTCTTTTTTGCCTTTTTAAATCCACTGTTCTGCTCTGTTTAGTTTTTAGCTACAGTTTAGCTGCTTTTAGCTTCCGTACTGCTTATTTTACATTTTAGCTATGGTTTTGCTAATTTTAGCTTTTAATCACTGTTTTTCTCATGCTTGCTTTTAGCTACAGTTWAGCATATTTTTGTGTTTAATTACCATTCGGTTTCAGATTTTTGCTGTGGTTTAATGATTTTAGCTTCTAATCACTGTTTTGCTACTTTTATCTTTTAATCCTTTATTCTGTTTAAATTTTAGCTACAGGTTAGCTGCTTACAGCTTTTAGTTACCACTCTACTAGGTTTAGTTTTTGGCTATGGTCTTGCTAATTTTAGCTTATAGTCACCATTTAGCTACTTTTACCTTTTTTTTTAATCCACTTTCTGATCTGTTCAGCTTTTAGTTATCATTCTGCTAATTTTAGTTTTTGGCTATGGTCTTGCTAATGTTAAGCTAGTTTTATTTATTTATTTTTTTGTCTGTTTTAGCTGTTCAGGTTTAGCTTCTCCAGCAGTTTTCTGTGAGAATTTCACATTTCTTTCAAAGAAACAAACATTTTCTCTTGTTTTAAAAGTATTCCCTCCTTTTTCTAGACCAAAATAAGAGTTTAGTTCTGATTTCAGAGCAGTTTTAGACGAATGAATGACTAAATAAATTACTTGTTTGCTGATAAAATGATTTGTGTTTGCTTTAAATTAAATATTTTTTTTTACCTTCTCTGGTTTTATCGTTGATGTTTTCGGCTCCTAATGAGACGAGTCTGTAAATAAAAAGAAACATTTTGTGCAGAAAGTTTTTTTYCGTTTAGTTTCTCTGCAGGAATAAAAAGACCAAAACATAAAAACATGTTAAACTCACTGATCTGCAGCTGCCTCGTCTCTCTTTTCTTCTGCTTCTTTAGTTTTCTTCTCCTTCAGTTTGTCGGCGGGGTCGTGTAACATCTGTAAGAGAAGCCAGTTCGGCTGTTTCTGTCCTCCAGCTGCAGGTTTTAGCTGTTTCTGTGTAAAGGGCCTGACCTTCAGCGTGGACACCTCGTAGTGCTGACAGCCCTTAAAGTTCTCGTAGATGGCAGCCATGGTGTGGGACGTCTTCTCCCAGAAGTGCAGAAGTGTCGTCTGAAACAAAGAGAACTGTGATTTTTAGATTTGACTCGTCCAGTTYAGTGTTGGTCTCCACGTTGGCAGGTGTCGGTGACGCACCTGGTACGTGGTCAGGACCTGTGAGAGGAGGTTGCAGCGACTGGCGCCCAGCAGGTCCACCTTCTGACAGACGTCGGTCTTCAGCTTGTCGAAGCTGGTTTTGGTGGAGCGCACCTGAGCCTGAACCTGAGACACAGAGCAGCTTTCTCAAACACAGGTCAGAGTTTTAATCATGAAGCTGTCAGATGGTACCGAGACATTTCTTCAGTTTTTACAGGGTTCTTCTGCCCTCTAGTGGCAGGACTTACAAACTTTTAATGCTGCTCCTCGGCTGGTTTCCACTTTGATGCTGCTGAATATCAGTTATGACATGATGAGAAATTAATATCATGAAGATTTTAGACTTCAGGTTGTATAAAAGCAATAAAATGGATTTAAAAATTAGCGTAAATTGAAAAAGGTGCAATCCAGAATATACGAGAGAAAACATTTTTCTGCAAAAATGATGTGAAAGCTGGGAGATGAATGACTGAAGACACTGAAGCTGGTTATTAGAGCAGGRGTGCCCAAACATKTTTCCTGAGAGGGCCAAAATTAAAATSAACCTCAGGGCTGTGGGCCAAATGCAATAAGAAATGCAAATACCCTTTTTTTTGGCCAGAAGGAAATGCAGAAATGCAAATACTTCTTAAGTAAAGTTGTTTTATTTTTTATGATTAAGCTAGTGTGGTTGCTCACATTTTTTTTTGTTTCAGCCCATGGATATGGAGAAAATTCAACTTATGCTCAGGCAGCAAAGGCTCATGGGACTTTTCATAATTTAATATTTGAGTATATGGGGTCTTATAATGTGTGCAAATCTACAGTAGATGTGGACTTGAATCTAATCTAAATGTCTCTTGTAGTTACTTGTATTTTATATTTAATCTTAACATAATCTAGTAAACATGACAACGGCTGGTGGGCCAAATCAAATGGCTTGGCAGGCCAATTTTGGCCCGCGGGCCCCACTTTGGGCACCTCTGTATTAGAGCTAAAAGCAGCAAAATAGAGGTTAAATAGTTAAAAGTTACAAAACTGCAGCTAAAAGCTGAAGTAGCACAACAGAAGATAAAAAGAACAAAAAAATTCTTCTAAAGACCAAAAAAGAGCTAAATGCTTAAAGCTACATGTCAAATGAAATGTAACTAAAAGACAAAATGAGCAAAATGCTAACTAAAACAAGCAAAACATTAGCTAAAAATAAGCACAAATTTAGGTAAAGGCTAAACACTGCAAAATTTGAGCTAAAAATATCAAAAAGATTACTAGAAGCAGAAGTTTTAAAAGAATGGATGAAAGCTAAAACCAACTAAAGGCTAAATGTATCAAAAGGCTAGCTAACAGCTAATAAATCAAGACTAGCTAAATGTATCAAACAGTTAGCTAAAAACAAAAAGTAACAGAATGGTTAATAAAAGCTAAATGTTTCAAAAGTTAGAAATTAAACAAAGTTTAGCTTAAATCTAAAGATAGCAAAGTCTAGTAAAAATATCAAAAAGATAAATAGGTGCTAAAGTATTAAAATCTGGATGAGAATTAAAAAGGTTAGCTAACAGCTAAATATATCAAAAGGCTAGCTAAATAGCTAAATATTAAAAAGCTAGCTAAAACAAAAAGTAACAGAGTGGTTTACGAAAGCTAAAAGTATCAGATGTTCACTTAAAGGTAGAATAGAGGAAACTGAAGCAATTTCTCAATATTTTCATAAACGTTTAAAATTTTCAGACCCTGTCAGACGTCATATTTATATTTATTCTGCTGCTAGCTGTTGGTTCTTGAGAAGTAATAATTGAAAACATTCATCCAATCAGTTGCACTTTATGTTGTTAAAAAACAGCTGAYGTTTTGCTGTAAACTGACCTCTGACAACAGCTGAACTAAAACAGTCTGAACAGCACACCTTGCGGAACCTCTCCATCTGTTTGAGAGTATCCGGATCGAGCTCCTGGGAGACGTCCTTCATCCAGAGCAAGGCGCTGCGGTACTCTGTCCTGGACTGCTCCATGCGGTTCACCGTCAGCCACGTGTCGGAGATGGCCCGGTACCGAAACGTCTCGATCTCCTGGTACAAACGGCACAGAGGCTTCCTGAGAGCCAGCCTGCAGGACCCAGAGTTCACCTGAGCATGAAGCTTTTACTCCTCGCACATTTAGTTATGTAAGAGTAAAAAGAAATCAAACATTAAGATGTGGCTCTGTACCTCTGCTGGGAGGAGAAGCAGAGAGCTTTCCCCGTCGCCTGCATGATCTTTCCAGCTCTGGTTTTATCCTGCGAGCCCTGGGATCGCAGGAACCGACCCAGCTCGTTCTCCTCCTGAGAAAGGACTGGAAAGAGGGGAGACAGGGACTTAGATTTGTAAATTCACAGCTAAAGCAGTGGTTTTGATGTAAAACTCATGTTTTATGAGAATAAGATTCACAGCAGATCCGTCTCTGGTACAGCTCGATGACCTTTAGAAGCTCCAAGCTTGTTCTCTGGATGGAGTGGAAGACCTGCAGGAGGAACGACCAACAAAAAAGTCACGTTTTGTTTGGTTTAAAGATGATTCTCCTCTAAAAGCTGCTCCTGTTCTTCACCTCCAGCTTGGCGTCCAGGTCTGCGTCAGACGCCACCACGTGCTCGTCCTCTTTCTTCCCGGTGACCTTGAGGAGCGTCTGTTTGGTTTTCCAGTACTTCTGCTGGAACCTGTTGACCACGGAGGAGTCTCGGCTCTGGATGAAGCGGTCCAGATCGTCTCTGGAAAAGCCACTGTGGGAGGAAAAAGCAGATTGGAATGAGACAAGCCCAACTAAAACCCACTGAGTGTTGTAGATAAAACGGTATACTCACAAACTTTTTCCCTCCATTTTTTTCCAGCCAAATAGACCTGTGGYGAAAACGGAGAAGCTCAGAAGTCCAAGAAAACATCTGAGAATCCTTTATTCATTTTTCTTGTAGAAATACAGTGGTTTGCAAAAGTATTCATACCCCTTGAACTTTTCCATATTTTGTCACATTACAACCACAAACATAAATATATTTCACTGGAATTTAATGTGAAAGACCAACACAAAGTGGTATACAATTGTGAAGTGGAAGCAAAATTTTACATGAATCAAAACATTTTTTACAAATAAAAAACTGAAAAGTGCGACGTGCAAAAGTATTCAGCCCCCCTTTTCCCTGAGTGCAACCAATTGCATTCAGAAGTTGCCTGATGACTGCTAATGACTCAAAAGGGTCCACCTGTGTGTAATCTAATCTCAGTACAAATACAGCTGCTCCGTGACGGCCTCAGATGTTGGTTAAGAGAATATTGGGGAGCAAACAGCATCATGAAGTCCAAAGAACACACCAGACAGGTTAGGAATATGGTTTTGGAGAAGTTTAAAGCAGGCTTAGGTTATAAAAAGATTTCCCAAGCTTTGAACATCTCACGGAGCACTGTTCAATCCATCATCCGGAAATGGAAAGAGTATGGCACCACAGTAAACCTGCCAAGACAAGGCCGTCCACCTAAACTTACAGGCCGAACAAGGAGATCACTGATCAGAGAGGCAGCCAAGAGGCCCATGGTGACTCTGGATGAAATGCAGAGAGCCACAGCTCAGGTGGGGGAAACTGTCCACAGGACAACAATTAGTCGTGCACTACACAAATGTGGTCTTTATGGAAGAGTGGCAAGGAGAAAGCCATTGTTAAAAGAAAACCATAAGAAGTCCCGTTTGCAGTTTGCCAGAAGCCATGTTGAGGACACAGCAAACATGTGGAAGAAGGTGCTTTGGTCAGACGAGATCAAAATTGAACTTTTTGGCCACAATGCAAAACGCTATGTGTGGCGGAGAAAGAACACTGCACATCACTCTGAAAACACCATCCCCACTGTCAAATATGGTGGTGGCAGCATCATGCTCTGGGGGTGCTTCTCTTCAGCAGGGACCGGGAAGTTGGTCAAAGTTGATGGGAAGATGGATGGAGCCAAATACAGGGCAATCTTGGAAGAAAACCTGTTGGAGTCAGCAAAAGATTTGAGACTGGGGCGGAGGTTCACCTTCCAGCAGGACAACGACCCTAAACATAAAGCCAAAGCTACAATGGAGTGGTTTAAAAAAAAGAATATTCATGTGTTAGAATGGCCCAGTCAAAGTCCAGACCTAAACCCAATTGAGAATTTGTGGCAAGATCTCAAAACTGCTGTTCACAAACRCTCTCCATCCAATCTGACTGAGCTTGAGCTGTTTTGCAAGGAGGAATGGGCAAGAATTGCAGTCACTAGATGTGCAAAGCTGGTGGAGACATACCCTAAAAGACTTGCAGCTGTAATTGCAGCAAAAGGTGGCTCCACAAAGTATTGACTCAGGGGGGCTGAATACTTTTGCACATCGCACTTTTCAGTTTTTTATTTGTAAAAAATGTTTTTATTCATGTAAAATTTTGCTTCCACTTCACAATTGTATACCACTTTGTGTTGGTCTTTCACATTAAATTCCAGTGAAATATATTTATGTTTGYGGTTGTAATGTGACAAAATATGGAAAAGTTCAAGGGGTATGAATACTTTTGCAAACCACTGTATATGAAATTATAGAGTTTTAAGATGACTGCTTTTAAATTAGGATTATTGTGGCATAGTTTGTTAGTATTAGGATAGGTATTGCTAAAGTTTATGCTAGTTAGTTAGCACTACTAATTATCTCTGGCTCGTTTCAATGCAGAGTAGATAAATAAACAGAAAATCTCTGACACGGGACCGGAAGTACTGATCTGTCAAAAATAGCTTCTTGTGGTGATAAAACCTTATTTTTAGTCTTTCAAACTGTGTTCGCTTTGGTATTTTTCACAGTTGCAAACAAAACGTTAGACCAAATTTAGTCTTTTCAAAATTAACCTCTTAAGCCTCAAGGGGTTTTCTTTAAATTTTTGCTCAAATGTAATTGAGTGTATCTCAGCATTTACAAACTCTACTTAAATAATCTTGGTATCTACATAAAGCTAACACTTAGTAGATTTCATCAGAAGTGTAAGTATTAAAACAGCTGCTGTGGTTTTAGAGATAGTGAGGATGGAACTTTTTTTTTCACTCTCACCTGAATATTTTTTGCATTAGACAGCATATAACCCATTTAAAACCATAATGAATGAGGCTAAACACTCTTGGAAACCATAAATCCACTTGTGGACATTACCTGTGCAAAGATTCATGCTGCTAAATTTAACCGGAGCAAAGTTACAGAGGTTTTAGTAAAGAAATAATTTTGCGTTTTGTCATTACAGGACATAGGTACTGTTGTTAAATGTTATTAAATGTTAAGTTTTTAATTGCAAACGTCATTTATTTTTTCTTACCTGCCTGAAAAGACTTGAAGACCTGAAAAGTCTGAAGTGTACAGTGTGAAATATGAAGAGTTTAGGAGCTTCTTTAGGCCTGAATGGTCACAGTTGGGTAGCTTCAATAGAAAAATAAATGTTTATGTGAAAATATTCTGAAACAGGATTGAAAATGAGTGGAAAAAAACTTTACAATGTCTGGAAATTTTTAATAAAAGCTCAAAACTAGTTAAAAATTTTATAAAATGTCTTTTTTAACCAACAAAGTATAAAAAATAAGTCAATTTACGTCATACTTTTCAACAGAAAGAACAAGACCTGAGATAAATGGACGACTAAATGAATGGATGAATAAATGGATGTCTTATTTCTTTCATATTTACTAACATGTGGCAGAGGGACCTGCTCCCAGCTCAGTTTATTCTCTAACACAGTGTTTCCCAAAGTTGGGGTCGGGACCCAAAGTGGGGTCCCGAAACATCAAGGTGGGGTCCTGAAAAGATTTTAGGAATTAATTACATTTTTGCCTTAGTTGTTACAAAGGAGTGAGTTTAGTGTATTTAAAATGGATAACAGTAGTATGAAAAATAATGTTACTATGCCCATGTTTTGTTGACATGACACAAATGTTTATCATCCAAAAATAGCTGGGGGCTCAGGTCTCTGCTACTGTTTTTTGTGGGTCAAAAGCTGAGAATTTTGGGGACCACTGCACTTTGGTTTCAAAAGTTGGGCTTGGGACCCATGGGTCATGGAGCACCTTGGACAATCTCCAGAAATCAATTTAAAGGGTAATAAAATAATTGCTGATGTAATATTTTTCCTATACCAAAAATGTAATTAATTCCTAAAATCTTTTCAGGACCCCACCTTGATATTTCGGGACCCCACTTTGGGTCCCGACCCCAACTTTGGGAAACAC